GAGCAACAGCCTCCGTTTTTCTCTTTTTTTTTTTCTCGATTTTTTTTTCTCTTGTGCATAGAAAGAAGAGAAAGTGCGAAAAGGTGAGACGTTTGCGCTTACGGATAAAGATTGACATCCAGAAATCTATCAAATCATACATACATCGATCACGCCACATAGTCCTATTAAATTCGACAGATATAAACCGTATTTATTACACGCTACAATTCGACAAGCACGACGGATATAAATACAAGACAATATAGACATACTTATAATAGATAGATATATTTATATATATATATATAAAGAAAAAGAAGAAAATAAACTGGTCTGTCTTGTTTAATGAATGATGATCTTCATCTATCTATCTATCTTAAACTGTCTTTATATATAACCGCCAAATAAATTAGTCATGTCGTCTTGAACTCGTCGATTTCAATCAAATAATAGAGTAATGGCTGCTCAAAGGGTAATTTGTGTGATGTCATTTCTTGACGTTCGATTGATAATGAGATTTATTTATTTATTTATTTATTATATTTAGTTACTTACCGATACAAATGGACCCTATTATGGAAATGGTAGTGGAGATTTTTCAACAACAAATGGTCCCAATGGTAATAACAATATGTATCAACCAACATTTACTAATGAAACATCGTCATCATCCCCGATTCCTCATCATCTACAAACTCTTCTTGGACCTATCGGTGAATCTTCAACAAATACGAATCATGCGAACAGTGTAAATGCCGATAATCAAATAAAACAACAAAAAGATATGATCTACAGGTAAATGAGTGTGAAAGAAAATAAGCATATAATATATTTTGACTCATCTTCCATTACTGTTCTTTAAAAAAACATATATTTATGAGAAAAGAATCGATCAAGGAGAAGAAAAAAAAAGAACGAATTAATTTTTGTTTCGTTTCTTGACAGCTGATTCTTTTTTTCTTGCCGTACATATTTATTGTGTCCAGTGATGTCAAGATTGATAGATTACTTCGTTGTTACTATTCTTCTGTATTGTTAATCGAAAGAGAAGATGAACAGTTTTTATTTCATCCGTTCATTGATGATAATGATGAGAAAGTCGTTGGGCCGAATCACCTTCGAGCACATTGTACACTCTTTTTTTTTGTTTCAATGCGGCCCTTCTTTTGCATACTATCATGAATACATATATACAGCTGTAATTTCGAAACCGATCATTATCTTCACGCTTCGCGTGCTTTTATTCTCGTGCTCTGACTTTTTCTTTCTTTTCATATCGATTGACGAATGTTTACTTCTATCTTGATGTATACACATATATCTGTTAAAGACCATTAGTTGTCAATAAAAAAAACAAAAGCAATTAAAGTAGCTTGTAAACATAGATGAAATGCAACAAAACACAAGAACAAAAAGAAAACCTACATAACTATTGGAATAAAAGAAGCATACATTATATGGATATTTGGTACTTTAGTTTCTCTGTTAATCATCTTGTTCGCTTCGGCTCGTCTATCTTTCTAATCACTCGGTTGGTTGCTATCTCTTCGTCGATGTTGTTATTGTACTAGTGATGATGGTGTATGGCCTTTGTGTGTGCGTCAGTGCATACCACTGACTAACTAATAATCGTCGGAAAGGCAAACGAGTATGGAAAGAAGAAGAAGAAGGAAAAAAAAAGATGGAAGCATACAATCGAGATCTTTTTCGCTGTCTATTTCTAACCTTATCGTCTCATTGGGTATTCTTTTCTTCTTTTTTTTTTCTTCTTTTTCTTCCACGGTTACACTATGAATGTGCTCTTGCTTGCAATTTTTTTTCTCTCGATTCTTGCATGCGTATGACAGTGATTGATGATCATTACGCCTGCTGCTCCTTCATCGGTTGCTGAAATTATACCAAAGTACTGATTACGATTATGACCTCATAGATATGAATTTTTATTGGTTCTTTTCTTCTTTTCTTTTTTTGATTCTTCTTTTCACCATCATTATTATTCAAATCGTAAATTGATATGACCGTAATCGAAATACGAAGGTATCAAAAATCTTTCTCTTTAATTTTCAAATATAAAAGATAGCTCGAAGCAAAAGAAAAGGGAGACAGAGAGAGAGAGATCGATTTCTTTATTATTTGATCATAATTATAGTTCAACTATGAATAGAAAATAAGATAAGAAGACAAGTTTATTTCATTTTATTTTATTTTAATTTTCTAATTTAGCCATCCATTATTTCCTTTATTGGCATTAATCTTTGAAAAATGTGAATTAGCAACTTGTACACCAAGAGATTCTGGTGGAGCAGGAGATGTTTGCTCATCTGAATCATTTAATGATGATGTTACGGAATTTGCTAAACAGGTAATATTTCAATTGTATATAATCTTATCATCATCGTCGTCAGTATATATATTCAAGTAAAAAGAATAAGGCAAAAAGAATTAAATTGAAGTGCATTATCGAGCTACTGTATATGAATATGTGTGTTATCACAAGATGAACATTTGATAAGCCACTTGAACAAGAAAATAAATGAAAAAAAATACATATATATTGATGATTATGACCTCCTCCTCCTCTCACTCCTGTCAGATTGATACTTGAATGAACAAACTATGATAAGATCTAGCAAATAGAGAGAACACACGAGAGGGGTGGAATATAAATTCACGTCATATACATTTGCAGATGTTTCCAATTGAATATTTCTTTTTCTTTTTTCAACACAAAAAAAAAACTTATCTTTAAGAGCTAGCAAAAAAGAAAAATGTCATGCTGTGAGTTTGAACAATATTGTTCAATGTATTTTCAATTGTCACAAAAGTAAACGTGTTGAGTACTTATGTCAGATAAAAATTCTTCTCAATTAAGTTGATGAAATGAAAATATGATTAAACATCTCAAAGACATTCTTTGTCTACATACATCTAGTATATGTTATTACTAATGGTTGTAAGCACGTGCTGTTTATTAGTCTGATCTTATTTAAGATAAAGGAATGTGCTGTGATGATCCCAAGAGCAAATCAGCTCATCATCATCTTATCAAAAGCAACAGGAAAAGAACAAGTTAGCTCTTATATTTTTGTTTTATGGTGTAAATGAGAGAAAAAGCTTGAGGGTATCATTAAAATGTCATTAGCTTTTCATCTAAAGGGAAGACACAGAAAGATGAGAGGTCAAAAAAAAATATAATCGAACTAGCAGATCTTTTTTTTCTTCTTCTCGCTTCTTGTACAATTATATCTTTGCGTTGTTCCGGATATGCTTTTTATTGTCAGTGCACCTGCTATTCTTATTTTAATGATCAATAAATTTCTTTTTCTAGCTTCAAAAAGATCAAAACTATATAACAACAAATCCGGAATTAGACAATGTGGTAAATAATTTATTTTTATGTGAATATTCCTTCCTATTTATTTCATTATAGATGATTCAAGCAATACAAGTATTACGATTTCATTTGCTTGAATTAGAAAAAGTAAAAAAACAAAAATTAAATTAAATCGTATGATATCGATCTATTAAAAAATATTTCATTTTAAGGTTCATGAATTATGCGATAATTTTACTCATCGTTATATAACATGTTTAAAAGGAAAATTACCAATGGATTTAGTAATCGATGAACGTGATTCAAATGTTTCATCATCAAAATCAGGTGATGAAGATGATCAAGATGATGATCAATCAAGTCCTCAACCGCCATCAGGATTTCCACCACATCCACCAACAAGTTCATCACGTTCATCATCTTATAATCAACATAGTCCAGATGGTTCAACAGCATTATTTCCTCATCCAACTAAATCAGTAAATTTTGTTTTAATTCAATCATTTATCTTTTGAAAATAATCTAAAATAAAAATTTTCATATTTAGCTTCGATCATCATCATCACAATTAACACCATTTGTTTCACCTCATCATCTTGGACATCATCCTCATCATCTTCCACCACCATCAACAACACATTTTCAACAACAATTACCTCCACCACCTCCACATCCATCGTATTCAAATCATCTTGTTGGTCATCATTCATCACTTTTAACTCATCCACAACAACAGCAACAACAACAACAACAACATTTTCATCATTCAATACATAATGATGATACACAATCGACACATTCTTCGTCAGATACAAATACTCCAAATCCTAACCAACCAACAATGATCAATATGACAAATACTAATAATAGTTATCATAGTTTACATGACAATAATAGTGAAACGGGTATGTTTTCCCAATTAGCCTTTTCATTTTTTCTAATAAGAGAAATAGTCATTGACATTTACTATTGTCTACATATATACATATATATATATACGCAAGGGAACAAGCAATATAAATAATTACAAATAAAAAAACATTATCAATCTGTCTACATGTTCCCAAACGATTAATGTTTGCATGTTTTTCTAGACTGATCTCTGATTTTATACACTATACAAAGTTAACATTCATTTTTCTATATAGTAATCATATTCGAATGCTTTTTCTCAAATCGACTGTCAAGATGTATTACTTTATATATATATGTATAGGTTTTGTCAATCATTTATAATTGATCATAAAAATGAAATATATTTTAAAGAGATTGAAGTTCACCGTTTTTTTCTTCTTTTTCTTTCTAGGTGACAATTTTGGTAATAGTGTTGGTTCAGGTGATGACGATGATCTTGATGATAATACAAAAAAACGTCAAAAAAAACGTGGAATCTTTCCAAAAGTTGCAACCAATATAATGCGAGCATGGTTATTTCAACATTTAACTGTAAATATTCAAACTATCTATTTAATTTAAAAATAAAATATATATATTTCATTTTTTTTAAAGCATCCATATCCGTCCGAAGAACAAAAAAAACAATTAGCTCAAGATACTGGTTTAACAATTTTACAAGGTAAAATTTCTATCTTTGAATTATATTTTAAAAAATATTCTTTACTTGTTCTTCTGTCTTTTTAGTTAATAATTGGTAAGTAAAAATTAATATCAAAACATTTTTCGTATTGGTTGAAATTTCTATGAAATTTTTAACCAATTAAAAAATCTCTATATCAGATGTTTATTCTCAATTTGAGACTTGTTACCATTTGCCGGTATGCTTCTTTCTTTTTTTGTCAGTTTGTTATTACTATATGTCGGCAATAATAATGATCAAACTTCTATATCTATATATATATATATATAGATATATACATTTTTCTGACATATAATCAACATAAAGTAATAGTATGGTCAATTAATAAAATAAACAATCCGTTCATTGATACTATTCTAGCGTGCAAATAGAAAATTAGAGAAGATCTTCAAGCGTAATAGACAATCCAATTGAACTGTCAAAAAACGTTTTCATGACGATCTGTTTTGCTAGTATAAAGAAGTGATGATTATGATCTATATGCACGCAAATAAAGATCAAAAAAAAATGTAGATCTATTGCATGAATGTTGATAATATTAATAATGCGTGTAATAGTCATTGAGTAAATAGGTCACGTTCGTTTAGGGTTTTCTTTTTCTTCTCCTCATTTTGATGTGTAGTGTTTTTTTTTTATGTAAAAGATTCGAGAAAAACATCTGGCCGGATGTTGATGACAACAATCTATCGTCGCCATCATTAAAATCACATTAAGAGAACGAGGAGGAGAAACTTAACTTATACATTAGCTTGCCGTGTTTGTATATACATATCTTGAAGGAGAAGATCGTTACTATATCTCTTTTCTGCAAGCTGGACATCATTTATCATTGCTAGATATCTTTATATATTGTAAACAAATCTGTCTATCTTCTTCTCCTGCTGACAGGTTTTTCGAGGTCATATATCTATTCTTATCATAAAAAGGTTAATTTTACTTGAATAATCAAATTTTATTAATCAATATAATGAAAAAAAGAACATCAAAAGAAAGAACTATACATGATAATTAACTTTAATAGTTGTGTATATATTATCTTTAAATAATCAAACAATTCTTTTTTTTATCTTTATAAAGGTTTATTAATGCTAGACGACGTATTGTTCAACCAATGATTGATCAATCAAATCGTGCTGGTAAGTCTTCTATAGATGGTAATGATTATATAAATGAACAAAATTCATTACATATACCATTATCGGTATCTACTTCTTCTCCTATTATAACAAATCGAAGTAAACGTCAGAATAAATCTCGAGAATTATCATTAAATAAAAGAAAACCACATCGACAAACAAAACCTGTTGAAATACCAGTCATTTCTCAACAATTATCCCCTTCATCTATAGTAAAAGGCAAGAGTGTTAATAACGCTCTAACATCATTTTTTTATATCTAATGCTTCCTTCATTATTTATAAATTTGACATTAAAAAGCAAACTCTTTCCTTTTTTTTCTCTTTTTTTCCAGCCCATGCTCAAAAAGGTAGAATTTCTACTCATGCATCATTGTGTACGTGCGTGTGCGTGTGTGTGTGTGTGTGTGTGTGTATGGGTAATGCTGCTTTTTTTAAATGCCTTTGACGCGTCAAATGAATATTGCTTAACAATTAATTATTCTTGATCAGATTTTCATTGATAAAAATGTCGTGTGACATATCAATAGTTAAAACTAAATTGATTTGTAAAGGAACAATCAATTTAATTCATCTAGACACTTAAGCAATTGTTCCTCCTCCTCCTTCTCTTCTCCCCTCTTTTTTTCTTCTTCTTTCTTTTGCTGTCAAAGTTAATTATTTGCACGAATGCGTGAAATACTACAGATAATGAAAAATGATAAAAAGAAAACCTTCTTTTATTTTTATTAGCCGCTATACCATCGGAATTTACTGATTGTTTTGGACCATATTCTCCTGATGCAGCTGCAGCTGCTGCTATGCATTATCAATTTAGTGGAGGTTATCCAACAGCACCTCATGGTAAAATAAATATTTTAAAAAATTAAATTTCGTTTTTTTTACTTAGATGCCTATTTTTAGATATCTTTGGATCTTACGCTCAAATGTCACAATTTCGAAATCCAATGATGATGATGTATCCAGGTAGTTATCCTGTATCATCAAGTCCAACTAGTATGATGGATCCAATGGGTCATCATCATCATCAACAACAAGAATCATCAGCAGTTACAAGTGGAGCTTCTTAAATGAAATTGACAAATAATATAACTTTCATATATATATCGAATGTTTTATTATTTCTCTTTTTCTTGCATTATTTTTTCTCTCCATAACCGGTGTTCGTATTTCTATTCTTCTTTTTCTTCTTCTTCTTCTTTATTTCTTTAAGTTTTGATGTCGTTATTTGTGCGCATTTATTGCTTTTTTCGTATATTCTTTTTTCTCCTATGTTCAGCAGTTCAACACAAAAAAATAATAAGAAGAAAATTAACTCGACAACAAAAGTCACCGATTATGGGTTCTTTATGTTGTATGTAAATCTTCTCAAATATATAAAAACAAAAAAGAATTCTAATTATTGAGCGTTTCAGTTTTTTTTGTCTATGTGTCTTGCGTAATGCATATAATTGTCTTTTTCTTTTTCCTTTCTTTTGTGCTCTCGCTACACATTGATCATTCAACGTTCTAGTTTTTTTTCTTTATTCTTCTTTTTTTGTT